ATCTAAGTTAGGTCTCCGGCTAATAGTATCCGCTTAGCTATTCTCCGATCCCTTAATATAGATAATAATATAATTAAATTCTAAGAGGTATTCGGCGTATTATAATTATTGTCCGCTAAGTTCTTAGGTTATCGCAAAATAAGAAATATTTTTATAGTCTATATAGACCTTAATCTAATATTAGCTTCCTAGGAGGTAGTATCTAAACTCCTTAAAAGTATTAACAATTATAAGGAATTCCTTATCATAGATAGGGTAATTAAGTTCTACTCTATATAGCTTATAGGAGTAAAATGCGATTAGGTATAGTTATCCTTTATCGTCTCGTTATCCGATCTAGGCGCCTAGGGCAAAGTCCGAGGTATCTGTTTCTAGTTTAATTTATCGAGATAGGTTAAATATCTTAAGTATTAGTTCGCTTAGGATAAGTTCTTTAATTTCATTAAAGGTATTTTTAGCTTTATCCCTAAATATAAAGATTTTATCTTTCTTTATAAGTTCTATTAATAATATAGCGATTTTTCTAAATACTTTAAGAAACTTATAGTAGTAATTAGCGAATCCGAGAAAGGCTTATACTTCCTTAATATTAGTTAATTCTTTCTAATCCTTAACTACTAAGACCTTCTTAGGGTCTATTTATATCTTATTATAAGAGATAATATATCTAAGGAATTCTACTTCCGAGGCATAAAATTTACTTTTCTCGGGTTCTACTAATAAGTTAGCGTTCTATAGTATCTATAATACCTTATAGATATATTCTATATATTCTTCTTCTATTTTAGAGAAAATAAAGATATTATCTAGGTAATATATAACGAATATATCTAGATATTCTCATAGTATATTATTAATTATTTATTAGAATATAATAGGTATATTAATAAGTCTAAAGGGCATAATAAGGTACTTAAATAGTCTATACTTAGTATAAAAAGCGGTTTTCTACTTATATCCTTCCTTAATCTGAATAAGGTTATAGGCTCCTTTAAGGTTAAATATAGTAAAATACTTTATCCCAAAAAGTTAATCCTTTAACTCGCTAATAAGAGGTAGTAATATATAATCCTTAATTATAATAGTATTAAGTATTTAGAAATCGATATAAAGTTAGAGCTTGCTATTCTTCTTTAGAACGAATATAACGAGGTATCTAATAGATAACTTGCTTTCCTTAATATATCCTTTCTATATTATATCTTTAATATATTCTTTTAATACTAGGAGTTATACTTTATTAAGTAGGTATAATTTACTAAAGCTAGGTTACTTCCTATTAATAAACTTAATCTTAAGGTCATAGGATATATATTCTAGTAGACCTATTCTAAGTTCTTCCGCGAAGAGTTATTTATAGATTTAGTACTTCTATAATATATTCTTAAGTTATTCTTTTTCCGGGCTATCCTTTTTTAGTTTCTCGAGGTCCTTCTCGAGCGTATAGAACTATTATATAATTTATGCGATTATTTATTGCCTTTATCGTTTTTATCTATTATAGTATTTATATTTTATCCCTATAGGTAGAGAGGTATCTTATATTTGCCTCTTCCTAACTTCTCTATTATTAGTAGAAGTTTAAGATCTCTAATCTAAGTTATTATCTAATATAAAGGATATCTTAGTATCGCAAGAAATTATCTAGCTAGTTCTCTAGTCAAAATATAGGTTAAATCATTATAACTATAGGTACCCGAGCATAAGATCATAGCTTTAGTTTAGTATAATATTAAATAAGATTCCTTAGTTCTTTCCTTTAGTAAAAACCTTAAGGTAATTAATCTTATAGTTAATAAATCTATTATTATAATCAAAAGGTATTCTTTCGAGGTTATATACTATATAGGGCTTACGTTTATGCCTCTATAGTAGCTTAAGCCTATTTACTATTATTAGGTTAAAGTAATTCCGCTTAGCTCCGCTATCTACTAAAGTATTTAATTATTCTCCCTTAACTTATACTTTTAACTCTAGGTATTATCGCCTATATCCTCCGTTTATAGAGTATAAGGCCTTCCGGGGTAGTTTATTCCCTTGCTTATCTATCTATTACCTTATATTAAATAGGGTATCTAGTTTTTTAACCTATAGAGAGCATAGCTATAGTAATCATATTTATATTCGCTCTTATTATATACTTTATAGTTATAGTTATCGATCTAATTATATAGATATTCTTAGTAGCTCCTTTCTTCTTAGGCTCCTAGGTCTCCTTACTCCTACTAGCTAATTTACTTCTATTAGTCTTTAATTTTATAAGTAACCCGCTTTTATTCTTAAATAATATAATAGAGGTCGCTATTATATTATACATAGGCTATGCTAATAGATTTATATTAATAGAAAATTTAATATCCTTCTATCTCATATTATAAATATAAGTTCTTATTAGGTTAATATAATAGTGCGATAAGGAAATAATCTTACTCCCATTTTTCCTTTTAGTAGGTCTCGCACTAGTATTACTAATAAGATATCTATAAGATATTAGTATATTCTTAGTATATTAGGTATATTCGCATATTATCTCGTAGGTTAAAAGGTATTTCTAGATATTTAGGGTTTTCTATTAATTCTCTATAATAGGCGCGAATATAAATTTCTTATTTATTAGCGGTATCTATATATTCTCGTGCTATCTAGATATATTATTCCTATATATTATTCTAGTATCAATTATCATCTTAGTTATATAATTATAAGTAGGGATCTTCTTCTTATAGTTCTTTATTAGTTTTTTATATTCCTTTTCCTACTTATATAAGTTCCTCTTATTAATACTCCTAAGGGTTTATAGTATTTATAATTTATGCCTAGGTTAGACCGCTACTTACTATTTTTATAATCTAATTATTATATAATAGTCTACTATATTAGTCTACCTTCTATTATTTATAGATCTTATCGTATTCTTATAATACCTCGGCCTAATATTAGGGGCATAAGGTGCGATTATATTATATAGGGTTATTCTATTAATAATCCCTTCAATAGACTATAGCAGGTATCTAGGATTTATTATTCTTATCGTACCTTATGATCTATTTCTTATAGTCAAACCCTTCTATAGCGGCTTCTTAGTAGTCAGTTTATTCCTAGGAGGTTAGAGATAGTAGCGCTTAGTTATCTTTTATCTAGGTAGATTTCTTATATTATATAACCGCGATGGTTTTTATACTAGGGTCCTTATTTAGTTTATTAGCTAGTTCTAGGAGTAGCTCTTATTCTAATTATATCCTAGTATAATCCATGAGGTTCATATAATTAAGTTTTTAGGGCTAGGTCATCCGATATACTCGATCCTTCTTATTATTTTAGACGACCTCATTTTCCCTAGTCTATTCTTCCATGAGGTAGGCTTACTAATAGGGTATATTAATTTAGTTAGGTATAGCTCCTATCCGGTTATAGCCCGCTTATACTATACCGAGTATCTTTATTATCTATAGAGCTATCTATAGTTCGTTATTAGCTTATGCGAATCTTACCTATTTTCTACCTTCGGGGAGTCACTATTACTATAGCTAGTAATAACCTTCCTTAATATTATACTACTTTTTATAGTAGACCTTCTTAATATAATTTATCTTATAGTAATATCGGCATTTAAGTCCATAATAGTTACATTTCTTCTATTAAGTTACTCCGAGTTTTATAAGTCCTACGTAGGTTTTATAGGATATATCGTTTTATCGGTATTACCCTTAGTTAATATTAAACCGAGGTTTCTAATAATTTTCTTTACTATTGCGGGGGTTCTAGAGCTTCTTCTAAGAGAACTATTAGTCATTAATCCTAACTACTCGGCCGATATAATCAACGAGGTTATTAGGCCGGTCTTCTTTATAGAGTTTAGCCTATACCTCCTTCTTAAGTCTATTAAAGAAAAAGGATATTAGTAATTCCTAGTCTTAGTTAAGCTTCGAGGTAAGCTAGAGGTACTTAGTGCTATATTCTAATGCGGAGCAAGTTTATCGGAGTACCTTAATTTCTCTTTCCGCCTAGGCCTTTTTATCTACTATTCTAAAGGCTTATTAGAGCATAGCTTCGAAGGTTTTAAAGCTAGAGTAGAGGTTTATGGTTTATAGCGAGTATTTATTAAGTGGTTTAATAAGGTATTCCTTTATAATAGGTTTAAACTAAGCTATAGTATGCTTAGTGAGATGCCCTGCGGTATATTAGACCTTACTAGATGCCGTGGTGAACTAGGTAGGGTAATAGAGCATAAATACGCATAGCTATATAAGAAACATAGGTAATTTATATACGGTGCTATTAAATTTTTCTAGTTATTCTAGCTTTAGGATTTCTCTAATATCCTTACCCTTTATAGCGGCAATCGCTATTTAATTAATATTCTAGATATTCTCATAATATTACTAATTTTAGACTTACTAAGTAGCGGCTATATAGTCAATAAGTCCTCTAAGTTCCTCTATTTTAGTAATTATAATAGTAACCTAGGTATAGAGTTGCTTAATTTCTTTATCGTTACTATCTATTTCTTTATCGCCGTTAGGGTTAGCCTAGACTAGCGCGATAGGGGTAAGTAGGTAATTAATAGGTAGAACCTACTAGTAATTATTATTAAGAATAGCCTAAGTAGCTATTACGTTTAATATTATTTAAGGTAACGCGAGTAATCTAATAAATAAGAGCTATTAATATATAATAAAAGGGTCTTTCCTAAGGGATAAACCGGTTATATTAGTTTATATTAGTAGAGGAGAATATTATATAATCTTAAAGGGTAATATAATATTACGTCTAGTAATATGCTTAAGGGTATTAAGTATAACTAAGTTATATTAATAGCTAAGGTAGCTACTATATAAGAAAGTATAATAAATATATTTTATATACTTAGGGTATTAGTTATGATTACTCTGCTTATCGGTCTTAATTAAGGTAATTATATAGGTGATTAGGGTGATTAGTGAGATAATTACCGTGATTACTTAGTATTAGAGGTGATCGTTTGTTTGATTAGTGAGGAATTATGGGGGTCTGCCTGTGTATGTGATAGGTGTATGTTAGGCCGTGATAGTGCCTTAGAAGTAGCTGGATACTGCCTCTAAGAAGAAGCAAAGAGTGCTGCTTTGGAAGGTCTTACAGGGCCTCTAGGGCCTCCTATAGGGTAGCTAGCTTTTCTTATAAGAAGGTTCTTCTAGGCCGGATAGGGCCTATATAAGTACCTAAGGCTTTTAAGCCTTCTAGCTTAAGGTCCTCTATAGCCTTTTCCTTGCTTTTAGCTAGGTTAAGGCTAAAAGGGGAGCCTTTTAAGACCTCCTTAGCTGCCTCTAGGGTGCCTTGCGGAGCCTTATTAAGTATATAGAGGTCATCTAGGTAAGCTACTAAGGTTGCCCTAGGTAGCTTCCTAGCTAGGGCCTCTAGGGTAAGTCGAAAGGCAAGGGAAAAAAGAAGAGGTCCGAGAGGGTTACCTTGCCTTACGCCCTTGGCCGAGGCTATAGCTGACCCATCTTCCATAACTAAGATAGAAGGGTCATTATAGGCCCAAGCTGCTGCCTTATAGAAGGTAGGGGCAAAAGTAGCTACAGAAGCAGCTATAGAAGCCCTATCTACTGAGTTAAAGGCATTAGCAAGGTCTATAGAGGCTAGCTGCTGAAAATTAGCCTCATTTAAGCCTATAATAGCCTCATAGAGGAGGAAAATAGCGGGTTCAACCCCGCCTGGGCTATTCACGCCTAGCTGGAAGGGTAAGAGCATATTCGGCCGATAGGAGGTCATTAGGATCGCCTTCATAGCTACCCTATAGATAAGATCTCCTATAGCTATAGGTCTAACCCCTCCATCGGGCTTTTCAAGCCCTATAAGGCGGCTAGCGCATAATAGGTGGGCTCCAGGGGCCGTGCCTTGGCGAATCATATCAGCTAGCAGCCTTAGGAAAGCTATCACAGGGGAATCTTTCCTAGTTACTAGGTCTAGAAGAGGCCTAGTCCAGCCACTAAGGCCCGGGGCCTTTTCCTTGCCTATAGAGGCTATAGCTGCTATAATAGTCTCTGACGTGATTGGTTGGCCGGCCCTTGGGCGGGTCTTGCCTTGGAAGGGGTCTTTTGATCCAATAGGGTGCTTTTCTAGCAGCCTAGCCCTATTTTCTACTGAATTAGGTGCTATAGGGGTCGGATCAATAAGAGCCCTAGCAGCCCGGCCTAGGTAGCCTCTCTCTAGTAGCTTAGCTGCCCTTTGGGCCGGGCTAGGAGCTATAGAGGGTCTAGCTGCCTTGGGGGGCTCAGGGGGCTGCTGGAGGGACTCTAGGCTCTCTAGGGTAGGTAGGTTAGAAGGGAAAGACCTAAGAAGGGTAGCTAGGCCTCCTTTTTGTAAACCTAACCCTAGTAGCCTAGGCAAGATAAGGAAATATAAGAGGGCCTTTTCAGTAGGCCTCTTTAGAAAGGCAGCTGCAGCTTTATGGGCTGTAGCTGTGAAAATAGCAGCCTGCCTTGCATGTAGCCTTTTTTCCGGTATAGGGATCCTTGCAAAGGCTAATAGCTTCTGCATAGAAGCCTTGGCTAGGATTGGGGCTATAGCTTGGTTGTGTAGCTGCTCTAGGGTAGGCCCCTCTAGGGTAGGCTCCTTGGGCTCGGGCTCTAGGGTAAGCTCCCTAGGCTCGGGCTCTAAGGTAAGCTCCCTAGGCTCGGGCTCTAAGGTAAGCTCCCTGGGCTCCCTAGGCTCCCTAGTCTCTAGCTCTAGGGTAGGCTCCTCTAGGGGCCCTAGAGGCTCTAGGGTATATTCTTCTAGAGGCTCTAGGGTAGGTCCCTGACTAGAGGGCCTGTGGCTAGGCGTGCTAGGGCAAGAGGAGCTAGAGCTAAGGGACCTAGGGCTAGAGGGTCTTCCCCTTTCCTCATAGCTAGAAAAAGACCTATAGCTTTCCCTTGAGGCCGGTCGGTCTAGGGTAGGCTCCTCTAGGGTAGAGTTAGGCTGTAGCTGCCTTTGCCGCCTAGTAGGTCTTTGTAGCTGTGGAGAAGGGGTCCTTGCTAGTCTCTTTCTTCCTATAAGGCCTCTATAGCTAACTAAGCCCGGGCTAGCCTGATTAGGACTAGTGGGGCTAAGGGAAGAAGCTAAAGAGGCCCTAGAGGTATTAGTGGCCCTAGTAGCTATATAGGTCCTTGGCCTAGGTAAGGTAGAAATATGGGCTTTACCTTCTATGCCGTGGATCTTAGCACTATGGGTCTTGATGCCGTGACTTCCGCGGCAGGCTGTGCCGCAATAAGGGCAGCTGACTAAGCCAAGGGGCTGTAGCTGTTGGTTGGTATAGGCCTCGGCCGGGTGTTTTTTGCGTATATGCTCTAGGGTATCTCTATAGCTGCCTTGGCAGGTAGGGCATACCTGCGAGGGCATTTTACTATAGGGTAGCTAGAGGTATAGGGTAGGTATAGGGTAGCCGAGGTATAGGGTAGGTATAAGGTAACTAGAGGTATAAGGTAGCTATAAGAAAGAAGATAATAAAGAGAAAATAGCTATAAGGTAGCTAAGATAAGGCTTAGAAACTAAGCATAAGGGTAAGAGTTAAGGTTATAAGAAGCTTAGAGAATAAGGTCTTTAGAGATACTTATATAACCCTAGGGTTATTCTAGAAGCTTCTACCTTAACCTAAGTCTAACCCTAAGCCTAACCCAAAGCCTGACCCTAACCCTGACCCAATGTGTGACCCTAACCCCTATAGAAGGCTCTAGAATCTCTATAGAAGCCCGAAGGGCTTCTATCTATAGCTGACCCAAAGCCTGACCCTAACCCTGACCCAATGCCTGACCCTAACCATGACCCTAACCTCTATAGAAGACCTTAGAATCTCTATAGAAGCCCGAAGGGCTTCTATCTATAGCTGACCCAAAGCCTGACCCTAACCCTGACCCAATGCCTGACCCTAACCATGACCCTAACCTCTATAGAAGACCTTAGAATCTCTATAGAAGCCCGAAGGGCTTCTATCTATAGCTGACCCAATGCCTGACCCTAACCTCTAGAACCTCTAACGGAACCTCTAAAGGAACCTCTAGGGGGATAGGGTGAGGGATAGGGTGAAGGATAGGGTGAGGCATCGGGTCCGGGTTAGGGTTAGGGTTAGGGTTAGGGTTAGGGTTAGGGTTAGGGTTAGGGTTAGGGTTAGGGTTAGGGTTAGGGTTAGGGTTAGGGTTAGGGTTAGGGTTAGGGTTAGGGTTAGGGTTAGGGTTAGGGTTAGGGTTAGGGTTAGGGTTAGGGTTAGGGTTAGGGTTAGGG